CTGAAAATTGAATAAATAAGAAAAGTAGCAGATACACTGTGGTCTTTTCTATTTTGCAGTTTGGTAACCACGTCAAGAAATTTGGTTCAAATTTTTAATTAAGGAGTTAGCTTTCTGTCTGAATCAAACTTAAAATATTTGATTGTGTCCGACGCAGCGTAATGACTGTAGTTTAATGCGTGTTCTTATGAGTCTGGGCTCACAAAGATTTTACAATTACTGGGAATGCGTTCCTGTAATAAGCATAAAATAATGCCAAAATGGGGCATTTTCAATGCCTCACTGCTCCTTAATGAACGTGGGCACCCCCTTTTTATTTTTATCATATGACAAATATTCAGTGGACAAAGTTTGAACAAAAATCTATTGTCACTTTTATTTCAGGGGAATTACCTTAAGGTATCAGTATACCCCAAATGACCGACCTGTTTTGTCCCGTCTTTACGTACGGTCAGTAGTTTAACCAAAACTCCAACAAAGCATATATTTTCTGATTTTCAGATGTCCAAGATATATTCATGTTGATTAAAATAATAACAGGTTTCTGAATGTACTGTTCGATATTCAAAAGCAGAAAGACTAACTTTCCGAGTTCCTTTCCGCTCGGTTTTCAGTGGGAAAAATAATAACAGTTTTCTGAATGTACTGTTCGATATTCAAAAGCAGAAAGACTAACTTTCCGAGTTCCTTTCCGCTCGGTTTTCAGTGGGAAAAAGCGGTCAACATTAATTGACACCTTTGTCTTAAAAACTACGTCCAGTAATTTTTTAATTAATTGCCTGGTTAGTTTTCGATACGCAGTCAAACTTAAAGAGTCGGGAAGACATCAATTACCTTTCCTAAAATGAAACATAACTTTTGAATGAGGAAAAACAAATTTCAAAACATTCCCAACTGTCAGCTGAGACTAGCCCCAGACGTCTCTCGTTTTTAAAGTAGTGAATTAGTCCACCAAGCCTCCGAAACACAAGTATACATCCACAAGCATCTCATTTTGATCTTTACAGAGCTTTTTTTTTTTAATTGAAATGAAGTAAACCATTAAAGTAAGTAAAATGGAAAAAGTGTTACGTTAATTTCTTTTAATTCAAATAGATGGCGTCACCAAGAGACAGCGCCACTAAATGAAGTGCCAATAACAACCCAGCCCAGTTTAAGGGTTTACGAAGGTAAAACTCTATTTCATTACTCCTCAGAAATAAATAATCAAATAAAAAGGAGCAGGTGTTGGTCTTTCTGAGCCACCAGTTTGTTGAATTAGTTTATTAGACCTTATAAGTCGAACTTATTAGAACTTATAAGACCTTATATTGGAAAAGAAAAAAAAATATTTTTGAGCCTTGAAGTATCAGTAGTTCGTTTAGTGTAATCGTGTAGGAGAGGATAGTTCTGAAAAGAAGGCTTGTGTTGGAGACTAACGCTTTGACAACCTGAGCAGAAGTCATCCTTAGAATCAGATGGAGTTCAGTCGGTACGGTTATCGTTCCCCTTCGTTACAATGACTGATCAGTTTAAACCTTAAGGAATTTAAGGCCGCCAAATTATTTTGCTATTCGCCTTTTGCTAGGACAAAGTCAGCGTTGCTTGGAAGGAAAAAATGTTGCAAGCCGCGGGGTTTTCTCAACCAAGAAGTTAGCCAGGCCTTAACTCACAAACTGACCCGAAGGCTTGTTAAAGCCCTCATCAGCCATTTAGTCCTTATCAGCCTTTTTATGTCTAATATCATTGTGATCACGGCCACTACTTTTTATCTCGAAGAATATGTAAGGCTCAGTCAGTCATTTTCTTTTGTAATTCCTAACTCCATCGATACGATTGACGTATTACCTAGAGGACTTGCTGGCCAACTGATTAGTAAGGTGGACTCTGTTTCTAGCAATACGGGTTCGAACCCTGGCCGGGGTCGTTGTTTTGTCATTGCGACGTGAGGGCCGGTACAATGCCGGGGCAACCCTCCGATAGACTACCATCACATCCAGAAGGGAGTAGAACATAGAGCAAAAGACTTATAGCAGAAAGATCGACTCAGACCAAGTAACAAAAAAAAATAAATAAAGCTTGTTTTAGTGGTACATGTAGTTAAATAATTATTACAAACTTTGTAATAATTACGGTATTTTATCGTTTTAACTCCATTTCTCCCATGTAACTTTTTTTCATTTTGCTTTTTTGCTCCTTTTTTTCCTGCTTCTCTCAAGATATTCCAATGCACCCTGCAGCAAAAAGCCAAACGTGTAAAGCCCTTAAAGACAACGTAGCAGGAGAAATCAAACTTCACCACGAACCAGCAAAATATATCGGTAGGTAAATGACCTTGGAAAGGGGTAGAAAGTTCTAAAATCACATGATTTACCTTTCTAACTATGTGTGTGTGTATATATGTATATATATATATATATATATATATGTATATATATGTATCCAGTATATATATGTATATATGTATATATATGTATATATGTATATATATGTATATATGTATATATATGTATATATAGATAGATAGATAGATAGATAGATAGATAGATAGATAGAGATATACATATATATACATACATACATACATACATACATACATACATACATACATACATACATACATATATATATATATTTTTCTTTTTTGCCTCTCCATAGATATGCCAATCGCGAGACAATCCGTCCCTGAGGATCAAAATTACGATGACATTTCGGACAGTTTTGAACTTGATCGTGACCAAGTAAAGCTGGTACGGTTACTGGGTACTGGTAATTTTGGTCAAGTGTCCAAAGGAACTTACGGAACTTCACGATTGAATGTTGCAGTCAAGTCACTAAAAGGTTTTCTTTCTTTTTGCTTGATTTTCCTTTCATAAGTTTTTTCGCAGCGGGTAAGTCGTGAAAGTCTTCAGATTTCATTTATTTACATCATAGGTCTCATTTTGTCTGGTTTGTCGATGATATAAACATTTAATAGGAGCTTAGCTTGTGTTTTAATTAAGCTATCATTCAAAACTTGTTGTGTTTGACCAATTTGACGGTGCCCTGAAAATCTCACAGTCTTTAGCACAGTCTTTAATTTGTTCGTCGCTGAAATCTATACTAAATTGTTTTCGTCGATGTCACTGACGTAGCAGTAAAAAGATATCATGTAATATCTTTGCAACTCACTTTCTCTGATCATGAACCTTTTTCTACCCATTATTGATAGATAATGCGGAGCAGATGGACATACGAAACATGCTCTCTGAAGCAGATGTTATGAAATCGTTGCAGCCTCATCCTCACATTGTTAGACTTATTGGCTACTGCATTGAGAGAGGTATAGATCGTTCCTATTATAACGCCACATTCGTAAAGCTTACTGGTAGGTGCAACATAAAGCTCTCAAAGACTCGTCGTAGTTGTTGCAGTAAAGACCGGTAGAAATAAAAAGAACTTGATCACGATGGAAGTAGAAAAAAAAAACACCATATGTTGCTTAAGGAAGAGGAAATCCCTGGAGTCTTTCCTGAGGTCGGGGAGCACCCAAGTAAACGATAACTAGGCAACTTCTCCGATGGTGTCAGTGCCCAGGGGCCTATCGAGGTAAAACTCGCGTCCAATCGCTTGATAGCTAATGGCCGCACCCTCGTGAGAGCTTTCTCTGACACCTCGACCGAAGTTGCCTACAATAAAGATTACGAAGCCCCAGGGACGTCTTCTTCCTTGTTTAAGAAATGCTTATTTGGCATACTTCACGGTCACGTTCACATTTCCAGATATTAAATAAACAAATTTTACGAGATGTTTCGCTCTTTTTATTTGAGGCAAGAATGAGATAATTATTTACTGCTACCAGAAGTATTTCGGAGATTTTTTCAGCAGCTACGTACTAGTGAGAAAAACTGATACCAAAACGGTCTATTGAATACGATTTAGAATTGAACAATTTTGTTCTCGTTTTTTTGTTTTGTTTGCTTTGACTTCCCTTTATTTGACTGCATGCCGTTTTGTTTTAACATAGAGGACTTGAGTTGGTGTATTTGCTTGCTGCCATTTTTTTTTAATATTGAGTACAGTTTTGTGCAGTCCATTTTCTTATTTTGCTCGTTATAATTTTTATCATTATTCAACAAACCGTGTTAGTTGGCGCTAACCAATTTATGCATCCTCAACAAACATTGCGGCGTTTTCCTGAAAGATGCGCAAAAACGATAAGGAAGTCTGTAATGAATACTATATCGAGGCTTCTCTAATTAAGTGAGTAATCTTGATTCTTTCTGATTCGCCAATTTGTTGCTTAGCAATGACGTCATTAGTTTTTACACGTGGACGTATGTAGATAGTGTTAGCGGCATATTCCCGCCAGTAGTTCAAGTTTCAGTTATCGTTCACAGTACGTGTCTTTAAGTAAATTAAGTTTTAAGCTACCCTTGACTATTTAGAGTGCAAGCGGGAACCGATGTGTAAGTACAAACCATTTTCTATGCTTGTTTTTTAGTACAAGTTTCAAGTTTGGACGTTTTTTAACTCTAAGTACCTTTAGTCTCGGTTTTTTATACAACAGCCTATTGTTCTAAGTCCAACACGTGGCAGAGCCCCAGTTTTCAAAGTTTTAACTTCATCTTGTCTTAGTGATAGATCTTTATAGTTTATACTCTTCCTAGTCTCAACTTCCTATAAGATCTTTGGTAATTCAGTTAAAGGTCCTCTCCTTGCTGGTAAATTCCTACATCGCTTTCAGTGGCGCTCACGCAAGCACGTTTTTATCCCATCGTGCAATTTTATTGCTTTCAAGATTTTAGAGTGTTATCATTTATTGTATTAGGACAGTTAGCAGTATGTGTATCTGCTTGGGATCACTGATGAATTTCATTGTGTCTTTACTGAGAACTTTGACTGGAAGTATTATCACACCGCAGTTATGATTGGAATGTTTGCTATTATTGTTTCGTGACTCTTGTCATCTTGTAATCTTCTATTATCTAGTAATTAGTTTATTCACTGCATTTTATTTCAGATTACGTTCGATTATCGTCAATTAAATCACTGTCAATCACAGCTGATTTTCCGTGATCTCTGGCTTTATTCGATTAGTAAAGCATCCCTCGCACACGCTAGTCTCATCGCGACAAGTTGTCTAGCAAGTGACAATTCAGCCTTTCAACAGTCGCCGTGAACCTGACATTACAAAGTCTATTCCTGTTTTTTTTT